TGAGGAGTGAATAACACAGTGCGCACATTCTCTATGTCTACAACTTTTGATTACTTCAGACAACTTTCATCCATTTTTTTGATTCAAATGACATTCATCTTTATAGCTGATTTGCCTTAGCACGCCTGAAGTTACTGAGCACTTTGATTGGTGGAGAAGCTGAATCTGAATGTTCTGCTACTTCATAGCTTTGTGTGAGCTGATTTTTCTGAAGTGAAATAAACTCACCAAGTCTTACATACTTGAAGATATTTGGCGTTCGAAACACAGGCTGTGATAAAACAACAATACTCACATATATTGGTAAGTAATGTGATAAGTAAACGCTGAGTGTTATAGTTTAATTCTCTTTAACTGAGAGCAAAAACACTTTATTCTCTGAGACTACTTTCCCCAGGAGAGTAAATGCTGATTTTGTTATAATAACCTATCAAATCCTTGTAGTGTAGAAACTAGAGTGTAGTCTACTGTTTTCTTTAGTTGTTGCAAAAAGGGGTTTGACACAGAATACACTATCATCCACAATAAAATAATTTAATCAGATGAAACACATATTGATAGAGTGTTGTTTAGAGCTCATTTTATTGATCATAATCATATCAAGGTGCTCACACTACTTACAAATTCTGCTTATATTATCCCATTATTTCTCCTTCTTTGATTTTATAGGCAATAGTATTTCCCATATCACTGGTACTGCTACTGCATTATTCTCTAACTGATAGCATACTGTGGTCAGACATAGCATCAACTGAATCCATGAAAGCCAACACTCGATGATAAATTGCATTTGGAACTTAGTCATGTGGTAGATTATAATGCTTCAATGCATCTTATATCCAACGACCTAATTAATATGGGATTTTGGACTTTTACCCACTAAATTCTACAACTTCCTATGATTTAATTGATCCATTATTTACGATATTCTTACAGGATTCTTCTCCGTGAATTATAATATTATTATGCACCATATTTGTTTTGTAAAAATCACTCTAATCGGAATTGCAGTTAACTTGACTATTATTTATAACAAGATTGTTGTTTGCTGTTCATAAAGTGATCAATATACAAATATATATATATGCTCCATTCGTGAGGACACGAGAGGAATTTTAAACCATTTACAATAATTCCATATTGGATAAATTTATTTCACAAATCACCAGTTACTGAATAACGTCTCGAGTATAAATTACCACTAACGATCATATGAGCAAGACGTCAGCCATTTCTTTCGCTCGATAACCTGTTTAGGAATTTCTAATTCCTGACTTGAGAGATAGAGAGTCAATTCATGCGGAAATTATTTTACTAGTGAGTTAAATGTGTTATCAGTGGCAAAAAATTCTGGAATTCCGGGAGGTATCCAGAAAAGTGTTACCCTCCAAATGAGTTTTATTCGCTGGCAAATAATACTGATCGTCGAGTCCAACAAAACAGCCTATCTCAGTTGTTTTTTCTAATTGTTAACTTACCAAGAATATCATCCACTGTCACTTATCGATAACATCCATTTTGATTTGACACTAGTAACTAGTGTGATGTGTCTAGTTCCCGCTTTGGTGCAGACTGAATTCTATCAGTCAGGTTTACAATGTGGCCACCGTCGTAGGTAGCTCGCCATCACGGTGCACATCGATTTGATAATATTAGATAGTTGAAGGTAATCCGCAGGGAGCCTTGGCTACACCTAGTTTTCGTGCTACTTGGTACTCACCAGCCAGCAAGGCGTTTCTGCAACCTCGAAGGAACTCATGTCCCTTCTGAGATTCGAACGAAACCTAAGTCAAAGGCTTCCTGCCGATTGCCTTCAACCATCTAATATCATCAGATAACTTCCATTTTATCAAGATCTATTCACATGACGGTTGAAACATCAAAAATTCTTTTGCTGGAGGAAGTTTTTAAACTAGTGCTTGCCTCTCAATGGTCTTCTATATCACGTGAATTCGGTGAGGATCAAAATTGAATTTTTCAAAAGTTATCTGCCGTTTTATGAATTTTTAAAATATTCTTCAAACCATTTAATAAAAATCACTGCTATGACCTTTATTTTTAATGATAAAAGTTTCTCAAAAGAACTTGCAAAACAACAATAAAACTTGAATGCTGTGGTATAATTTTTATATAGCTCGCAGGGATACATTAGTATTTACTTAAAAGTAACAGACGAAGTGTAGTAGTAACCAAAAAGTAACATTGTCAAGTCCAAGATCTTTCAACGCCAGAGAGAATTTCGGCACTTATTTCTATACGCTTGATGGTGATTCTGGAATAGGAAGATAAAGCGACTAGGCAAGCCACTTCTTCCAATGTCTATCATTTCAACTGATCTTGTAGAGCGATTTGCATTGACCCTCACTCTAGAAACTTTATTTGTCACGCTGAAGAACACTTACCTGTCTGGCTAAATAAGGATGTAATTAAGACGATGACCAATTCAATATTAGAAAACCTGGTGCAAACAAACAATAAAGTCGACCGTGAAGAAACGCTGAATAAACCGCTTGAAGCTACAAGTCATTGAGTGCTGCACATAACAGATTTATGTACAAAATTTGAGTGCAAAAGAAACAAGTCTAGTCATTATCTCTGCCTTGACTTATTGTGGAATCTATAAATGCATAAACACCACAATGCATCATACCTGTTGTGTAAGATCTTCTGTCCGCCTTACTCAATACTGCATGAAAAAATAATTTTTACAGTTAGTATGATCATGAGCAGTAATTTTGCTCGAAACACTACCAAAATAAAAAGAAACTTACTATGGTGTGTAAACTACTGAAATATAATTTGGATTTTAAACTTTATTCTGTATTAATAACTCTACTTAAATCAACAAGACGTAAATTAGAATTTTCATTTCACAATGTTATTAGTAACATATAATTGTTCGCGAACCGTTTTTATTTCTTCACTGACTCATGTTCTTAGTTTCTTAAAAATCAGTTTTTGAGCACTTCAACATATATAACCTATATTTTACTCCGTAACATATTTTGACATATAACAAATAGTGTGTAGCAGAAAACTTGTATAAGACAAAGTATGAATTAGAAGTGTTCAAGGGAATAGCCTACGCTCTGATAATTTCTGATAACTTTACAAACTTTCAGTGAGTAATAATCACTTTTAACGACCAGTAGAACAAAAAAAAAGAAAAGAAAATACTTCAGCATGTATACCTTTTTTATTTCATGTTCATTTTTACTTGACCTCATTTATATATTGACATTTTTATTGAGTATACTTCGTTGTTAGACGTCAAAACAAGAATTATTCCTGCCAGTTTTTTCTTTTGTTTCAAAGAACATAAGTGATTTATGTTAGTGTTTTTTCTTTTAAATTTATATTACATGTTATTGGTTTACAGGCATGTTTTTAAGAGTATAAATTCAATAATATAAAATTAGGAAGGATATTAATGCATAAAACAAACAGTTAATTAAAAACAAAAATAAATGAATTTATGCATCCTTCTACTAACTGTTTCAATTCTCTTTTTCGCCAATGTAAACTGTAGAAGACATTCGGGTAAGACGATTAAATTATTATTTTTAGTTAATGATGTAAATTTATGCACTGGCCAAAACTTTCAACACAAAGATACACTGATAAATGTAACTGTACTTTGTACTCTATCTACAAGTTCATCAGCAGTTTTAGGGTACATATATAGATCGAATCAATGGAATGTTTCAACATCATAGGAAAAAACATGCTCCTAAATGGTCATTGGATCATATAAAAAATTGAATTCTACTTCATACGAATAAAAGTCCAGTAGCATCCACTACAATGCATTTATACGTGTTTGAACAAAAATCAATATTATTGAATAATTCTCAATTATTTCACACATAACTTTAAGTCAAGGTTATTAAAACGTTACTTATACACACTTTCATTTGCTATAGCTGATTAATTATCAGACATTTTCTTGTGAACCAAGCTGGCTAGCTGAGAAACATTTCTAAATAAACAATGAAATGGTATCATTATTTAAACAAAGATATATTTCCTAGTCGTCTAAAACTCGCATAAATGTTCCCTTTAGTTCCTAGAGGAACATGGGGCTTCAGCCGCACGTCTGCATTGCGTTCGGTTCTCTGCCAACGCTTTCACCTAGCTTCAAGTGTGCCAACATGCTTTCATCTCCTCTTCACATCACCTCCTCCATGTTATCACACTCCACACTGACGACCAACTCGCCGCTCCCCGTTCGGGGACTGTCTTGTGATGTCTCTTGATGGTTTGTTTTATCAGAGTATAGACGATCCATCTCCATTTCTTTCTGCATATTAATCGCACAATCGGTTCCTGCTGGGTTGGTTCGCTCTCAGAGATCATTTCTGGCGGTATATACACATATACTTCCTGAAGTAGGTCATATACTCTAAATGTGTTACGTCAAACAACTATCAGATGTCCATAGCCTGAATAAAAATCCATAACATCATCAATACCCCTGAAGATCATTCAGTATATGCACATAATATTACTAATTTTATTTTACTTGATTATACACCCCATGATTATGATTTTCAAAGAAAAATTTAATTTGAAATCACTTTATATACACTGTTGACCGTTTTGGTGATATATGTGATTGTAATTGAAACCATTCTCTTATTCTGGAAGCATTCTTCAGTGAGTTTTAATGAATGACTAAATTGTATAAGTACTTTAGGTTAATTATTGGTAAAGTGTAGGATAGTCTAAGTTTCGTCATCAGCTGATCACCAATGATCAGTGGTAGAGGTAACTTTCACACTTAAATCTGCATATTAAACATCAATATTTCATGTTTGCGTTTTAAACAGAACCTATACTTTCTTGTGAATAACTATGTTTTTTATGTTTTTTAGCAACCCCGACAGAGATATGTAATTTACCACTAAATATAGGACGCGGGCTTGAGAAAAAATCACGATACTATTATAACAAAGCTACTAACCAGTGCAGTGCATTTGCTTACAAAGGATTGAGCGGAAATGCTAACAGATTTCGTACTAAGGATGAATGCGAACGCATGTGTGTAAAACCAAACTTATCGAGAGTTCCGTCCAATGGGGATAGAAGACCAACACTGCCAGTTAGATATCCAGCTGATAGACGACCAATACAAAATGACCGTGATTATGATAACAGGTATCCAACTAGAGCACCATCGAGAGAAAGAACACGTGAACCAACCACTAGAATAGTTTACATTACTAGATCAACTCCAAGATACGGCAGAAGATCATAAACAACTTTTTTCGAGGATGGTTGATTTATTTATAACATGGTATATATCTGCAGTTACAAAATCCGAATAAATTTTTCATTACATTGCAGCATGTTGTCATTTGATCGCTTATAAAAGTTAATCCAGGATAATACTGAAGAGGAGTATGAAAAAAGGTTCGATGCGACTGATTTTTTTAAGATCATTCCCAGGCAATCGATAAAACTATGGATTTCACTTCATTCTTCTTGAGTATTTTATTTCTAGCTACTTAGAAATGTTTTGGCATAAAGAATTTTTGAGGTGGGAATAGGAGCTTTCAGAGTGGGAGATACTTATTGACATACCTCTTGGCCTATCCTTAACGAGTACCATTTAGCTACTACATTTGAACGGTATAATGAATGGTACACTCGGTGTACCCAACTTGACAGCAGACAGCGAAACTCTAAATTTCAAAAGATAAAATAAAACATACCGACATCTGCATCGGAAATTTATGATTATTTATATAGGAAGAATCAATTCAAAGACTACTAAGAGCATTTATACAGTAGTTTAGTCTCACATTTTCTGCCAATTAAAAAGGCCCAATTTTAGGCTGTATTAATCGCTTGAGTCTTTAAATCTAAGTAGATGTGGCGTCATGACAGTTTACGCAAAGAACTTTTTACTGTCGACAAGTCTGAATCTTCGGGACATGGCATGTAAATGCCCCCACAGTTAGAATCGCTGATGAGTTGGCTACTTGTAAATAGATCTTTAAACCGAACAATCAGATCTTCTTTGGTTTTAGACACCCAAAAACATAATGCTGATTTCAGAGTGTATTTTCGTTGTGGTACCTAAGTTCCAACTGCAACTGAGATCAATTCGGACATCATACATGTACTTCTGAGCGAAAGGAATTATTTCTTAGACTTTTCTTACAACAGTTGGGCGAAATAGAGAGAAAAAAGCGACTTTTTGTCCACCCAGTAATTTGTCAATGCTCGGGATTGTAATTCAAGTAAATCATTTGTACTATGTAAAGTTAGACAGTCATCAGAAAAGTTCTTCATGCCATAGTTCGACAAATCAAAATTTAGATTTCTTGCCGTAGAAACATATTGTTTTCGTTTCAGAAATATTCATTAGGGTCGAAAGCAAAACTCATTATTTCACTCTTTTCACACACATAGACTAATATAATCAGTGAATTTGATGAAATTCACACCATTTCCAATTAGTTACTCAGTTGTAGCAAATTTCGACGTCTAGTTGAATACTGGAAACAACGATTTTGTTGCAGTGTGCATTCTGGTCACTGATCTAGGCAACACAACAATATGTAAAAATTTAGCTAACTAATAAATTTAAATAATAACCATTCGGAGAAGAAAGTCGCGCCTAATTAATTCGCTTATTAATATATGTGTAAAACTTGGGCACTGTGGTAGTAAGTAATTCCATAATAGTTTGTTCATTAGAGGTATCACACAGTGAAACAGTATTATTTACTGGATGACGTTTCGAACAAAAATTATTATTGTTTACAATCATGTCATCAATTAGAAACACACGACTTCGAAACTTGAGTTTTATAGTTTTGCTAGAGGACTGTGTTATTAGATCATAATCCACATAGTCAACTATTCCCATTAACTTTTGCTTTAATTGCTCAATTTCATATCTGATATGTTGCAACTTTTTAACAGTTCTGTTGATCTCTTCTTTAAGGCAGTTCAATTCACTTAGGAATTGGAAAGTCAGGAAGTGGGACTTCCAATGTTAGACTATAGAGTAATAAGGATAGAAGATGAGAAGTTAAACACTGGTGTTTACAGGAAACCCACACACTCAAACAGATTTTTGGACTTCCGATCATCCCTTCCTATGTTAGTGAAATGTTTAAATAATAGAGCAAAAAACCAAGTAGCACGGACGGAAAATCTAAGACAGGAAGTGGAACATACAAGAGAAGCTTTGAAACTTAATAATTACCCCGATAAATTAGTCGGAAATTATGTAGGGAAATGAAAAAAATAAAATAAATGATAATAACAATGATGATAATAATAATAATGACGACATGCATGTCAAACATGCACAGGATAACGGCAACACCAACAATAAGGAATCCAAATCATCAGTAGTAATTCCATACAAGGAAGGAACATCGGAAACCACCTAACGCAGAATTCTTAGCAAGGCAGGAAAAAAAGTGGCTGACATTCAAACCCACAAACTCAATTAGAAACAAGAATTGTCGGTTAAAGGATCAATCCTGTGGAGCCAATGAAACAAAACAATTTAGTTTATCTAGTACCCCGCAATCATTGCTAGGTCAAACTAGTAGAACAGGAGCAGTTCGACTAACCGAGCAAAGAAACCTAGCAAAATGTGGATTAGCTGACCCGAATAAGATGAGAAATCTGGAAGACAGTTTAGCTATAACACATGCAATTGCACGCTACCATACAATAGGATGGATGGGATAAGATGACAGTTTTAAAATCTAATGTAACAGGATGGTGAGTGGGGAAGATTGACAACGGAGGCTTTCTTTATCGAATCAATTACAAACACGTATAATAGGAATGATTCAACATTTGTCCACTTGGACATTTGGAAACTTCTCCTACTCCAATGACGACAAATAGGAGAGAACAAAGAAGACTATAAAACTCAAGGTTTGAAGTCGTGTGTTTATAATTGATGACATGATTATGAATAATAAATTTTGTTCGAAACTGTGTCATGCAGTAAATAATACTGTTTCAATGACTGTGTGATACATCTAATAAACAAACTAATATGGAATTATTCCGCTTATTTGTCATCACGAATAAAACCTATATAGCTAAGTCTCTGATTTCAGTAGACCATCCAGTGAATAAAAATTAGAGGAGAAATGTTAGTTTCCCCAAGAGTAGACAGGCTTTTCTAATCAGTGACAATAGGAACCAAATGTAAAATTAAGTATTCTAGCCTATTTAATTCTTTTAATATGTAAGGATCAGAAACTTGGCGGGTCACCAAGAATATTTCCAACAGGTTGCTGACCTTTATTTACAGCTGTCTTCGTTCTATACTCAAAATCAGATGGCCCGAAAGAATCACCAACAAGAAACTATGGGGACAAACAAAACAGGAACCAATCGCTCAACAAATATGCAGGAGAAAGTGGAGATGGATTGGACACTCGCTGAGGAGGCCGTTGGGTGACATCGCGCGTCAGGCCAACGCTTGAGTGGAACCCGAAAGGGAAGCGGCGAGTTGGACGTCCAAGGGTGACATGGAGGAGATCGTGTGAAGAGGAGATGAAACAGTATGGACTAACTTGGATGCAGGTGAAAAGGACAGCAGAAGACAGAAACAAGTGGAGACGTGCAGTTGAAGCCCTATGTTCCACTAGGAACCCAAAGGAACAATAATAATATAATAATAACTAGAGTTTTCTTATCAGTGGTTCAGTGTACTCATATCTCCTCGTTCCCATGCACAGTCTGACGCATAATCCAGTCCACCACAGTTAAGAATATCATAGGTGATAATAGGCAGCTAGCCTTGTATTACTCCTGTATTCACTTCAAAGGTTTCTCTGAATTTTCCCTCGCGGATCACTTGGCAAGTGCCATTGTCATATGGCAGTTGAGCGAGAATGATTAAGATTTGGGCACTGCACACCGTAATGTTGAAGTAGTTTCCAAATTAGTTCTTGGTCAACGCTGTCGAAGTCCTTCGCGAAGTCGATGAAGTTGAGGTTGAAGGTTGACTGCCAATCTATGCTCTGTTCGATGGCTATGCGTAGAGTTACAATTTGATCAGCACATTATTTGCCTTTTCTGAATCCAGCTTGCTCTTGTGAGTGACAGGGTTCTGTATCCATTGCATCTTTCATTCTCTCCAGGATGATGCGATTTAGTATTTTAGTTTTGCATGGACAAGGGCATTATTCCACGCCAGTTCTCGCAGAGTGAGGCCTAGGTAATCCTTCTTTCTTTCCTCCCAAACATTTTGCCGCAATAGCGCGAGCACATAAGCATCAGTCTCTGGGTCCGTTTTCAGGGCTTCGAAGAAAATTCAGTCTGTCCCTCAGTCTTCCGGGCTGGACTTCAGTAGCTTGATCTCATTTAGTAATTCAATTTTCGTTGGAGGAGTGGTGTCCACTGGCAGTTCCGTGCATGCTGTTGGTGGTGTTTTCGGGCGAGGTGCAGGTGATGATCTACTCAAGAATCCTTTAAAGTGATCAGCCCATTGTTTTATTTGTTTCACCTCCTTGGTAGTCACGTTCCCTTGAACATGTATTACTGGTTTCATCATCTGAGTTGATCTCTTCCCGGATAGAGTCCTCTTTGTCTGATACAATGTCCCTAGGTCTCTTTTATCTGATCCCACCTGTTCTGCTTCAGTTGCCAGCCAGTTTGTCATAGAATTGTATTTTGTCTTTCCTAGCACTCTTCTTCACATCTTTATTCAATTAAGTGCAGTGTATACTGAACTCAGATTCTCCTTCTGTTGTGCATCTTTGCATTAAGTCATCTTCTCTTTCAGCATACTCCTTCCCCAGATTAGATTCCAGGTATCCATTAAGAGCCATTCCCTGTCGTATCTCTTCTTTCTTCCTAGAACGGTTTTACACGTTTCCTTGAACACCAACCTCAGAGAGTCAGTTCCAGTGTTCTTCCGCGAAGGTTCTTCAGTGATACCACGTAGTATATCCGACTTCGCCCTAATATGATCTGCAGTGAAGCCATCCCTTTTAGTTTTGTCGTTCAATTTCTGGATGTTGAACTTGAATTTTGGTCTATTTCCAGTTGTTTTGAGGGATTTCAGCTTCCCCTTGAAGGTTGCATGACTTAGATGATGGTCTGAGCTCACATCTACTTCCCTCCTCGGCTTTGTGCCCACCAGCCTAGCTGGGTCTCCACCTCTCTCAGCAGTACCGAGATGAAGTCTGTCTGGTTTGTGGTATGTCCATCAGGCGAAGTCCATGATGCTATACTTGTGTATATACTTGTGCTTGTACATGCTCCCTCCGATCACCAAATCATTGAAAGCGCACAAGTCTTCGAATAATTCTCCGTTCTCATTAATTTCTCCGAGCCACAGCCTCTTGACCCATGATGAGTTCTCTTCCTGTATTATCAGCTCCCAGTTTGGATTTCATATCGCCCATGAGGAATTCGATGTTGCCATTTGGGGTGTCGTCCATTACTGTTTGTAGTTGTCTGTAAAAATCTTCCTCCTTCTCTTGTTCCGAGTTGTTTTGTAACGTTGTAGGTAGCATTGGATACTTTTCACCCTCATTCCTTCCTTTTGAGCTGGATCTTGTTGCCATGATCTTAGATAAAATTGGTTCACACTACATTTGGGCTTTGGCTATCACTGGTGACATCATGGTAGCCACTCATTGCCTCGGGGTGCTCGTGGTTGTTGCCTAGGTAACCGTTCCAACTGATCTCGCAGATTCCCAGAACCTCTGTGTCGTATCTTTTCATTTCTTTGACTGCCTGGACAGCCTTCCTAGTCTCTAACTTACATTGTACGTACATTCCATGGCCCCATCCTGATTCTTGCCTTCATAGAGACAAGATACACTGGTTCACTAGCTTCCTGGAGGCTTACACCAACACACTGTGTCATTTCGCCTCTCCGATTCCACCGAAAAAAATTGTTATTTGAATTTTTGTGTTTTTAAAATGTTTTATTGTGCGTTGATGTGTCTGTAGCCATTTGATTAGTTTTGTGGCGTGACGTTGCTGGCTGCACACCTAAGCCTCCCTCTTTACGTGGTCTTGGGGTCGGCTAGAAAACTAGCGACCCATTAAACTAAGAGAGGTTAGGAAAGCGAGTCAGGCGTACATCATTGATTTAAGTATAAAACTTTGGCATTGTTGTAGAGTATAACTCTATTATGGATAAGATTTTATCTTCATAAATCACACAGTGTTGTACATTAATGTTAACTGATGACGTTTCGAGCACAAAATATATCTCATAATCATATCACGTCACTCACACAACTTTTGCGTGCATTAATCTAAAATCAGTTTGAAGATCTACAGTGCTTGGCGCAAGTATGGAGAATCAAGTTTCCAGTAGCTATGTGAAATGAATTAGTGATTTTATCTCGTTTAGAGACTTGACGAGTGTTCCATAAGAAGGTACTGGCAACATTCTTCAGGCCCTAATCAACGGGTGCTTTCACTCCATATTGAAAACAAGCTGGCCGACTGGATTTTGGTGGACAGATTGTTTGGAAAATCTCTTCTGCACTATCTAGTTATAATATTTACACTTATTCAGACATTCCAACTAAATTTGTAATTATTATATCAATTTCACCTACACTTTGTAACATTAATTTGACATTTGCATATCACATTGTTGATTTTCATCTTTATTAATCGCCTCTGTCCTTGCATAATCTCTAGTTGTAATCAATACTTCTCTGTGTGGTTGTGTATACAATGATAATGTGCTGTTTAACGATATGAGTTTGTTAGAGTGAATGAAGGTGATTCCCACCCGGAACTATCTGCGAGAAGCCTTGGTGTGTGTGATTCTTGTTTAAAGAGCTTTTGATCTCACCTCGTTATGAATATTCTCCTTGATTCTAGGGTACCTTTTATAGTTGTTCTTTGGTTAACTAGTTTTGTCTTGCAGTACTTGTTTTGCATTAAGAAACATACATGACCTGTACAACTACTGTCTTACGGCACTGCTGAGGAGAATTTCAGTATTGAAATAATCATTGTCTGATAGAAGCGCTAAAATATTGTAGAATGATCGTCTTTCTCCTGCATTTGGAAGGTTTTGTGACAGTACGTGTCTCAACGAAATTTTGCCGGCTATAAACTAGAATATACGGATCGGTTACGTTAGGTCAAATCATAACTGAATAAATTTGGTCGCTACATGATTAGAGAGAAAAATCGAACCGTCGCAACACACCAACCAATAACCGATCGCCCGACACATATGTTGAAGGAAATAGAATTTTACTGGTCAAACGTCTGAGACACAATTGAACGACATCACTTACTACGCTGTCTCGTGGAATACGAAAAGAAAGCGACGAGTTGGGTGGTGTGTGCTTTGGAGGGTGAAATTAAGGAGATTATGAGAAGGAAAAATGGAAGCTTGTGGGAATAACTGGAGACGGGTGACAGTGAACAGAGAGAACTGCATCTAATATGGATCTGTCGCCGAAGCCAATTGTTTCGCTCAGTACGAAAGGAGTGAATAAAAATGGTGGCGTTATTCACATAAACATCATTTTGAGAAGAGGAGAAACCATGCAATCCATGTTTATCAAGTGAAAAGAATCACCCATTGGTTATAGTTGTTCAGGTGTCCTAATCCAACGTCAAGACTAAATCTAATGACTAGTGGCTACAACGCAAATACCTGCTGCTTAACATTAATTACTAACACATAAGAAACATAAAACAAACCAGCATTATTAATCCAACGCACAATTGAAGAAACATAGTTTGATTCAAAAATTCTTTGGAATTCTTTTCTGGAATCTATTCACAAGGATTTTAGAAAACACTCAATAAATACAATACCATATTTTGAAGAAGTTTTATTGTCAGAAGAAATGATTTTCCTTGAGTGACAATACTTCACTGTCGTTTTCAAGTGACTTTAAGTGTCTCTTACCAAAACGGTAAAATCAACTTAATGAATGCATCGATTTAACGTCTTTCATTGCAATATGTCATTTATGTCAGTCTAATAGAGGTCCAATGAACTGTATTTGTTCAGGTGTATTCTGTAAACCTGTGGCATATATATATATCATTGTTCTGAACCACCTTACAGCTGAAAACATGTTTCTCAAATATCTGTCTCTACTGGTTTGTATTTGCTTGGTGTTCAGTGTTCAGGTTGAATCTAAATGTGAGTTTCTTCTCTGGAATGGAAAAGTTTCAAATTTAGCTGTGCAGCGTATTTTTCATTCTTTTACTATGTCACTTTAATTCTGTCTACAGCTGTGCTTTCAGCTAAAAAAAACGATTCATAGAATTCTGTCCGATTTATGAAGAGTTGAAAGATATTTCTAGCATTGATTTTTATGAAGTTATAAGTTACACTGGTACTTAGTTGTTTCACCTTTTTACTAACCTTTGAAATTAATCGAATGTGACCAAAATACATTCTTTCAAAATAACCGAGAAGATTCGTATCCCAATTGCATTCTTAAGCTATAACTGTGTTCTTTAGACTTTATGTTTCAATTCCAATGTTTTCATCGTTCCTGCAGGCAACAAAATCTCCATGAAAGTATGACTGAAATGAGATTTTGAGATAAAAAGCCCTCCTACTCACTTTGATAAGGATTCGTTTTCCGAAGAAGTTTTCTTGTCTTTCTATTGATTTGTATTATTTTCGACAGCTTCTCTGACCTGGTGTTTAACCCTTTGACCATTTAACTTATCCAGAGTGAAATAGATCATTACGGATGTCACTTGCTGACAATAACGCTGTATTACAAATTGACAGCAATTAGAATTCACGGGTAATTGAATTCTTACCTTGAGTGGTTTATTGGTCAACGAGCTGGCCTTTTCACCAGATTCCCTTGGTTTCCAACCCCGATGGGGTGATGTGTGTGCAATTCTAAAGGGTCCTAATCTAAATTATATATGTCTAAACCAAGTTCACTTTTAACAGTTTGGAAAAATGTGGGCATTTGATATGTGATATTCATTATAATAAAGTTTTTTTTGTATTTCCAAATGAATGAAAAACAAAACGATGTTGTTGTTTTTACTGACGTTTCACTATTTAATGCTAATAGCTTTATCAAAATATTATTATTAAACTAGGGCTGTTTATTTCTGCCTGTATTCGTACATCGGTGCACAACGGTTATGACTCTCGCCGATCATGCACATGGTTCAGGGTTCGACTTCCTGCCGACACACACCTGATATCAATGGTCGGCCTGCAGAAATTTGGGCTACCAATTTCACATGCTGAGAATTCCATAATTGTACAGAAATACTAAGTGGAAACAAAAATAAATAAATATTTCAAAAATACTCAAGGTGGGATTAGTTCTTGGCTAAATCTACACTGACATTATTCTTCATTGGTTGAGTGAAACCTTCATTATGAGAATTAGAGAAATAAAAATGGTATGGAATGTCCCGCCACACAAATCAAATTTTCATTAGCAACAACATCAATTCAATAGCGTTTAATATAACTTGTATACCAATATTATCTGAATTTAATAATTCCCATTGTAGCATTAAGAACACAATATTCAGCAAAGAGACTCTTTTCAACGAATTTATTATCAAGCTGTACACTCGTAGATATATGGTTTTCTATAAAAATTATATCCGGTGAGGGAATCAGGTCAAAGGTGTGAATACATGAAATAATAATAATTGTATGAAATGCAATCAAAATATTTGTGGTTATAATCATAGTTTAATGTCAAGTGGCAAAATAATTAATGTCGTATATAGAATAATACATAAGGTGTATAGATTTTGGAAAGGGGTACAGAATTATAAGATTAGTAGACGAATATAAAATGTTACATAACATGGTGTGAAATTTGATAAGATAGAATTCAATATTGTAAAAATAAAAATATAAAAATTAATAATTTTAGGTTTAAAATGTCAAGTGGGTCAAGTGAAAAAGATTCAGAGTGAGAATAGTAATAATAGTAATGATAATAATAATAATCGTAGTAATAAGGGAAAAGTACATAGAATAACTAAATAAACAAAATAAATAAATGTCTATTCCTCTACGGCCGAGGCAGAAGTAGGGATTGTACATACTTCTTTTGTACACAAAGGTCTGGCTTAAAGTCATGAATTGTCAAGGCCTCAGCTATCTTTAGAAGTCTGTAACGAATAAAACGCGGGAAGTTAGCATGAATTCTATATATGATCTTAAAATCATAGTCAGGGTTGACAGAGTGACAGAAGTCGATCAGGTGTTCCACTTGACATTAAACTATGATTATAACCACAAATATTTTGATTGCATTTCATACAATTATTATTTCATGTATTCACACCTTTGACCTAATTCCCTCACCGGATATAATTTTTATAGAAAACCATATATATATATACGATTGTACAGCTTGATAATAAATTCGTTGAAAAGAGTCTCTTCGCTGAATATTGTGTTCTTATTATTTGAATTGTTGAAGACACTGGTTCAGTCCGGTCTTGAGGAGAATACGGGAGAAATTTCTGATATGTGGATTTCCAGAAAAATGGATAATTTTATAGTCAATAAAGAATGTGTCACATGATCGAAGCATTGAATATCAGCTCAGAAAAATGACCAATTGAAGTGCAGAGGGATACAATTATAAGAAAGGTCTCAGTTTCTTAAGTATTCTATTTATGAAGAATTCCGAAGCTGGTCCTAAAACTGTTGTCTAGAAGGATAATTTAAGCTCGGTCAACTAAAACAGTGAACTCATAGAATTCAACAAGAAAGATCAGTGACTGAGCTATTATTAGGTCATATTTCAACTTTCTCACAGTTAAATCGGAAACAAATTTATCCAAGTTGATGAAAGTGAAATTCACAAGATAACAACAAGTGGTGACTAGTACTGGAGTCCAGTGCTTTTTGTGCTGCCTTCATCTTCTTAGAAGGACGTCTTTAACTGGAGCCAGTAGACACCGATGCATTAATTTCAATGATTCTTTTCAACTACACACAACCTAGAGAAATAAATGAATTTCATGTTTCTATATTTGAGGTTCATTGCAGAGAGTCAAGCAATCAAAGTCTCATACACTCACTTAGTCCATCCAAAGATCGATATTTATTAGACTAGATGAGTAGTTTCCTGAAATAAACAGGATATTTAAATATACCATGTAATCTGACAGCATTTCTGACTGGAATTTATTGTGATTTAACTTTTACTAATTTAAACCAATTTAATGAATTATCTTTCTTTATTAGCTTCAAAAAGTAAAAAGAACATTTGTACACTGCCCAAGAAAGTGGGATTTTGTCCAAAGAAGCATAAACGCTACTACTATGACTCAAAATCTCAACAGTGTCTTGAGTTCACTTACAGTGGTTGTGGTGGAAATAAAAATCGATTTCGCACTAAAGAAGAGTGTGAGAAAGTTTGCAAAATATCATCTTCTACCGGAGGTGCTCAGACCACAGTCAATCCACAATCTATGACGAAATCTTCAAAGAAAGATAAACGTACATAATGAGATTTGATCTGTTAGACTGCATTGTACTGTCTAATGGCATCGTAAAATAGATGTAATCGATTATGCTTCCTAAGATATCTACTTTTTTTAATGAATAGGAGTCTGTATTGATATAAATACATTGATTAGGATAAAATACGTCTTGGTTTTCTATAACGATTTCGACAGTTCACACCTATTCCATCTGCTGTCGTAGAAAATGGAGATGAATAGAGCACACACTGAGGTGATCTTCGAATGATATCGCGTGTCAGGCAATCACTCAGGTAGAATCCTAATAAGAAGTGGTTAGTGGGTCGTCCAAGAGTAAGTGGAGGAGACTGTGTGAAGATGAGATGAGAGATTATGGGCAGACGAGGGCTCAACTAGAGAGGATAGAAGAGAACAGAACAAAGTGGAAAAAAGTTTCTGAAGCGCTATTTTTCACTTGTTACCCAAGGGAACAATAATAATAATATCCATGACGATGTATGTCTGACATACTTCATCGAAGTGAAGTTATTGTAAGCTACACAAATTAAAGTTTAATATATTATTTAGAGGTATTTTTGATAAGCAGATTTTTCTCCGATCTTAGGTGTGCCACAGAATTATGGGAGTAATGCAATTCATTCTTGTACTAGTAATGATGACACTCTAGTAGTGAACTAAACCGTTATAGCCTTCAAGTTTGTTTACAAAAAACCCACGACAAAGCAGTTTGAGAGTACCAGTATAAAATGAAATAAATACTACCTTCATTAAATGAAATAATTTGGTGGGGCATGATTTAACAACAACTCCTGGTTGCCTTTGCATTCTCGAAACCCAGTGTCACTCAAATATTCAGTACTACATTATGACAAAATTCACATAACAAATAAATCACAGATGGAAGTGGACGTTAAGTGCATTATAAAGTTGTAATATAATTTTATTTTGCAAAAGACGTGACGGTTGAGTGGGGCGGAAATTTCCTTTCCGACGAATCATTTTCAAAAGCTATAGAGTCTTAATCTTACTCTACCGAAAACTCATTAGAAAGTGTTCAGTATCGTATAAGTGGTAATCTAGAAGAGAAAGCACAGGTGGAAATTCAGAGAAGGAATTCGGTGTTGTATAACACGTATAAACAACCTATTCAACCTCTATACATTGAATCTGGACATATTTGAGATGACCTTTAAGACATTAGATTACCTCAGCTGAGATTCCTCATTCAACCTGTTTCTTCGACCGTCTTCATCAGAACAAGAAGAACACACTTTGTAGGAAAATAAACACTTTATTTTGGAGTTTCTGTTCAGAACAAAATATACACATTATTGGCAAAATAAGAACACATTTCACATTCTATGAGCCGGCGTTTGCCATGGTAGTCAGAATTTAAAGAAACAGAAATGTGTGAAATGTGACTGCATAATCAGTTACGAATAATACGTAAGGAAATTAGTTGTCATGAGTCTGGAAGAAAATTTGAGATGTTTTTGGTTGATTCAACAACAAAAAACACCAGCAACATACAGATTCCGTTATGCCATAAGAGTAAACATTTCAAAATCATTAGAAATAGGTTATTTGAGATATCAAAGAAGACAAATGGAGTCAAAATAGATAAGATCAATTGTATATTTACACAGAAATGATATAAATATCTAAGGGGAATGCGGTTAAACGTGAGTGGTTAGTCATTTGTTTTTTACCCCATTTTATTAAAAAAAAACAGTATCAACATTGTAAAGTAATTCTTCAGTAAAAATCTCGATTTTAAGGACGATAAATAACGATTAAGATCATAATTTATTGCTAGCAGTGACATCAGTGTATCTGCAGAATTTCTCGCCTTGCTTTATGTACTTCACTATTCCTTCCTGTATTTCAAAGTAATTTTCCACATCCGGGAGTAGTGTAACGTCAGTTAAATACCGTATTATTATTAATCTTATTTTATTTTATTCCCTAACAATCAGACTGGAGAATAGCAGTTAAAGCTAAAGCATGAAATTTTCAGTGGCAGTGATTTTATTTTAACAGGATGGGGTTACTAGCCTCACACGCAGTCTTCTGTCTTTATCAGCAATACTAATGGCTTAGCGAGGTTTACGAGTGCGCCGGATGGCGATTGGAACCCATACCGTGTGCATGGTTGGCAAAGCCACCGACGCTAAATATCATTTGTTTGATACTAATTCGAGAAGAACGGTTACAGTGAACAACGTCTTTGCAATATATGTGTTCGAAACCAAGTTCACACCTAACAATTTGAAAAATTTTGGGCATTGGGTATATGGTATTCATAAATTATTATTTATTATTGTATCCTTTAATTCCTAGAGGAACGTAGGGCTTCAGCCGTGCGTCTCCATTGCGTTCTGTTCTCTGCTAGAGTCTTCATCTGGCTCCATGTCTGCCCACACGTGTTCATTTCCTCTTCACATGACCTCCAAGTCACCCTTGCACTGATGACCAACTCGCCGCTTCCCTTTCGGGTTCCACTCGAGCAATGGCTTGTCTAGTGATGTCACTTGATGGTTTGTTTTCTCAGAGTATGGCCAGCCAATCCATCTCCATTTCTTCCTGCCTGTTTGTTTCACAATCGGTTCCTGCCGGGTTGGTTCGCTCCCAGAGATCTCTGTTGCTGATCTTTTCTGGCCATCTGATCCTGAGTAGTATTGAGCGAAGACAGCTGTTGATGGAGGTCTGTAGTTTGTTTGAGATGCTCTTTATGACGCACTGGCCAAGTCTCTGATCCGTATAGTGAGTAGCACTGACTTCACATTGGAGTTGAAAATCCGGATCTTATTTTTGATGCTGAGTATTGTTGACCTCCACACAGACATGAGAGTAGTGAAAACTTGTCTTGCTTTTCAGATCTTCGCTGCTTTGATATCCTCGTCAGTTCCGTACGCCTTTAGTTGAAACGATGCTTCCCAGGTGGGTAAAATAGGTTGTTTCTTTCAGGTTCCTCCCATTTATGCTGATTGGTGTCAGTTGTTGTTGTTGCTGTTGATGGTGTTGCCCAAGAATTTTCATCACCTCTGTTTTATCTATGTTCACCTGAAGTCCTATCTTTGATGCTTCTTCTGCTAACTTATTGCTTTTCGCTTGCATATCTTCCAGTTTGTGGGAAATCAGACATATATCATCGGCGAAGTCCAGATCCTCCAAGTTTTTTGTGTGAGGGTATTCATCAATACAGTGTTTTTATTTCTTAATGAATGAAAAATAAAACAATATTGTTTGCAGTAACGTTTCGCTAATTAATGCTAATAGCTTTCTCAGAGTATTACTAAAACATAATTTACTAAATCTGAGCTTAAATACAACAGTTTAATTATCCTTCTTCAGCACAGACCTCAAAAGTTGTCTGGCGATATGAGAAGAGTACTCAACAAACACAACATCAGAGTTTTCTTCAAAGCATGAGACGCAATACAAAGCAACTTTGTCCATGAAAAAGATAAAAATCCCTAAAGATTCCTAATCGAACTGTGTCTACAAAATAAAATGCTTGGAATGTGATATGATATACCTCGAACAAACATCGCGAGAAATCAAGATCAGAAGACGTGAACACCGTAGAGCATCTCTTCAACCACTGAGAGATCCAGCTGAACTAGAAAAGCTTATAAATCATCAGCCATAGGTTTACATTCGAAATAATTAAGCCACAAACCTGATTTTGACAATAATGAAATCGTCCAGAGAAATTTCAGATGAAAACACCCTCTCCCTTATAAAATAACAAAATCAATACGAATGTGATAAGCAAGTTCATTGTGTAGATACATGCTGCTCTTTTAATTTTATGCACTTGTCAAATCCAAAAATCTACATCTAGTTTTGTTATCTTTATTAAGTCTTCCACTTGACAACATGAAAATTACCTCTTGCTGACAAAACTGCAGTATTTTAGCTGCGGTTTTTAAAATTCTGGTTTGATAACACTTCTACAAAGCTAATAACACTAATAAGTGCAATTTCAGCGTTTCACTTTTCCTTTATTCTGAAAAGCAATAACTGTTATAATAATGAAGGTTACTGTGTGACTGACAAAACTACTTCCTATGGAGTAATTTCCATAACAGATTGTGAACCACTTCCTTTGTGGTGGCAATGAAAATTTATTAACCAGTTTAAAGTAATCTTGCATTCAGAGGAAAATAGAATTTTCCCCGTGATTCTAAATCAATCTGCATTTGTAAGTTCAGTTGATCCTGCAGTATTCTTCGCCACTGTTACTACTGCCTGAGTTCCTGCGAACTCACAAGCCTTAAGATTGGACAAACGCCAGAAGATAAAGGTCATGTGCATATATTTGCATCTGTGTTACAACGGTAGAATGCTAGCCAACCATTTAGGTGGTTCGGGGTTCGATCCCCGGCCACCGACGCACTCCTTTAGCTCGCTTCGTCAGTAGTAATACTGGTAAAGAGGGAAGGTTGAGCATGAAACTAGCAACCCCATTCCGTAAAAATAAACACCATTGCTACAGAAACTTCAAGTCTCTAGCTTGAAGTCCTATATTCCACTGAGGAACGTATAGGAATAGAAAAAATTTAAAGAAATATATTTGCGAATTGAGAGGGCTATGTTTCCTTTCTTTGTGTTGACACAACTTATAGCTACGTTTGTGAATATTCCAAGATGTTCAGAATAAAAGTAAAATCCGCTTTCTCAAGTCACCAATGTCAGTGAGTGCGGCACAACTAACTAGCTACTGTACTATCTGGCTACCGTTATTCCATCGAACTAAGCTGACTCCTCTCCACCATATTCAAAATCAAAAGCAAACTGAATTGTATCTACTGTCAACTTTGTGTGTCCGGATACTTTCTGTGTTGTTTTCATGCAACTGTTCATATGTCGCCTATTCGCTTCAGTGAAAACTTTAGTGTAAAATTTAATTTCTCATGAGGTATAGACCACTAAACACACCTGATTATATTAGTTAAGATTGACAGTGATGAACGATCCGTCGATTATGCTTTGATTTGTCTGAATGCTCCTTTCTGAAATTTGGAGTCTTTTAAATGCAGCTGTAGCTGTACACTCAGTGTGATCTCAGATATTTTTCTATCTTGGTTTTATATGTCAACCGCCTACAAGTGCTAAAATGATTTCAGATGTAGAATGATGGTTGGTTTTATTTA